CGTTAAGAGCATCTCGTAGCGGGACCAAGAAGCGTTTTTCGTCGTCGCCGCTTATTCGCCTAGCGACGGCAGTCCCGATACACCGAAAGAGGAGTTTTACTATCAGCTTATTAACCCCTCCCCTCATAGTAGACGACTAACTGACATTGTGGTCTTGACCGTCGACTTGAACGCGCAGGTCGGTAGGTTAGAGGCCAGAATGCTTGAAACGATATATGCACAGCTGGACTACATACTCTGTGTTGACCATAAAGGTGGCGGTTGCGCAGTGGTTTAGTCGCTGCCACCGACGGACTTTGGACTCTATGGTCCGGGGTTCGAGCCCCACCACCGCCACCCGACTTTGGTGGTAGGCAGCTCTGCTGTCGTCCGGTTCAATACCACGCCTAACCTATCGGGGCCTTATGTGGTTCGCCACTCCAAGTTCCGGAGCTTAGGTTGCCGATTTCAACCACTGAACAGCAGGTCCTCGTGACTTTGAAGTTCGCCCTGTCTGCTGTTCATCACACCTAGGTGTGTAATAAAAAAAGAGGTTCATCTGCTTCTNTCCCTCTCTCAAAATAGGTCCAGTCCCGTCCACCTTAAATATTACCACTAACCTTGTATGCATTGCGAGTTTGGCAGCGATCAGTGAAGTTCACCTCACTGTATTTCGCTGTACGATGATGTCAGTCTCACTCAAAGGCAGTCCACCTACTCTGACATTCACATGTGTTAAAATCACGATATCAACCGGACTCGCCTCATCCAAGAGTCTATATAGTTTTTGGTCAAACATGCCTTTCACTGGATCTTGGCTGTAGTCCGTACACCGGAACGACTAGAAAGTAGCGTCTATCGAAGCTGTGACTACTCTGCACGAACCTCCAGGTTTCACTGCGCACAATCGACTGTTGTTTCTTGTAGGATTGCGGCCTCAATTTTCTCTTAGAGCTGAGCGAACTCCAGCAAGATCGGAAGTCGCAGCCTCAAGCTCCCGGGAAAGGTGTAAGTGAAACCGCAAATTGGTTTGATTTAGACGTTTACCGGATGCTGAAGATGTAGTCTTGCATGCGAGTCTCATGGATACAACACGCATCAATGACTAGAGTTTCGAGCACACGAGCCTAACACGCCTGTTGTCCTATGCGCTTCGGGGTTTTCACGCTAAATGNGTGACCGGTTCGAAGGAGCATCGAGGACGAAGAGAACCTTCAGCTGGTGGTGAACAAGCTGAAGCTTGGACACTGATCGAAGTAAAACATGAGAGAATAGGAGTACGATTTCCATGAGAGGCAACGATATTAGTACAATTCTGTACAGTTTCACATAGAAGTGAATGTGTATTGAGGTAGCAGTCTTGTTTTAGAGAAGCCGGTAACCAGTTGTCGGAAAAATTTCGCACCGTACTCCCATGATTCCCCCAGGGAAGTCTGGGGACAGTTTGGAATATATATATTTAGCAATAAGTAGTATACGAATGACTAGACAAAATTTCCCAGTAGCACGCGACCAGTTTCGCGGTTCTTGCTGCTCGTCAGGCATGCGTAGCCGGTAATCTTTTGTCGTCCCATTCATGTACTTGTATCCAGGAGATTTATTTATATCGCATATATATGATGCGGCTGTTTAACGACTTGATGAAACTTTTTGGACAAACGAAATGTGCTGGATGCACGATGCACGGAAGACAAAATGGGACCACTCTTTATTACTCATGTTTGTAGCTTGTCCCAAATGCTGTTACTCATTGCTCGTTTTTGCATATAAACATTTGTTTTCCACTGTAGATCACTTGTATCATGATATGTTTAACAGTGTAATAATATATATATATATAATATAGTACATGTCTTCATGTTGCACCTTAGAAAAATGGCAATGGAATTCGAGTTAGATTGAAGAAATGTACCTTCACACTCAGTGACCTGTATTCTGTAATATGAAGTAAATAACCAAATCATGATAAATGAGTTTGCCCGTCGCGACGTCGTCCCGGTGGCGCAATGGATAGCGCGTCGGACTTCTAATCCGGAGGCTGTGGGTTCGAGTCCCATCCGGGACGTGTGGCTTTTCTCACACCGCGTGGTTAGCTTCTGCTCGCCGCGTTACTGATACCACGTTACTTCGTGGCTAGTCATTTCGATGTTAGTCTTCGACCGGCACTGCCGTAATGAGTCTTGCTGTGGTTTTCGTGTTCACATCACTACTGGTGAGTAGTGTTTCAACGTAAATTGAATTTGGAGGGTGAACTTATGACGCGTTACCCATTCAGTATGAGACATCTAATTAGCACCATTTGTTGTTCTCATGCAGTTTCGTGGTAGATCAGCTCTCAAAGCCAACTGTTATACATCCACATCCGCCACCACTTTGTTGGGTCTGCTCTTGATGTTTTATTGGCAAAGTTGAAACGCTTCTGACCCTGCCCTGACTACATTCTACGACTGCTCATAAGTTGTATATGAAAAGAATACTCCAAACCCTGATAAAGTGGTGTGTGTTATAATCATAAAAATAATAACAACAGTAATATTATATGTATAATAATAATGATTGTGGTCGTAAAGATTTCGCTAATCTCAACTGCCAAGTTAAGTGGTAAATGAACGCATGATATAGGAGCACACATCTCCGAAATAGGTGTACTACGAAATTGGACTCCCTTTGGAAATATCAGCCATGATGCGTTACAGGTTCCTCCATTTCGAAATACACCAATAATTCCATCAAGATGTTCAAGGGTAACTGCAATTTTACACCACGACTTTGACCACAAGGTCTAAAACACGCCGGTGACAGCGACCAAACCACTGCGCTACCACCTACAATTGAAGTTGCATCAATCCGATCTGGAACATTTCTTGCTAAACCTCAGATAAACACCCTTTCCATTAAATTCATAGTGTTTTTGCTTGCCTGACATGAGTTTTTCTACTTCTAGCCTGTTGATACACCCGGTTTCTGATTACTTCTTTACACTATGGAAGGTAATTTCAACAACTGTATAGTCACTCACTTCAATAGGCATTCGAAATCCTCGGCGTATAAGTGCAAGTAAAGAATCACGCTTAGCTTTGTTGTCGAAACTGCGCGAGGCAAAAGAAAGAGGTGAACGGCTCGTAATCGTAAGTCACAAATTTTAAGTTGGTTATTCTTGGACAGGAAAAAGAAGAAACGGCTGTTTATGATACGGTGGATGAAGCAGAATACGCCAAATTGGTTCAACAGAGACTCGAGGATGATTGGATTGTAGATGACGGTAAAATTCTCTTGTTTTGCTATTTCTTTTAATCTGCAAATTTCAGCATTAATCCGAACTTGACTACTCATGAGTAGCTAGCCCTAGTATTCAATTACATACATTTCAATAAACGAACACTTACGCTATTCTCAACTTAATCGTTTTGAAGCTGGTCGTTAACATATCAGTCATGTACTGGATAGATTTTACCTTGTGTTACCGCTTGAGTTATAGCATGGCTCAAATAATCCTTGACAAAACTTTATGTCTTCCCCGAAGGTAAACAATCTTCCCTGGTAATCTTGTCCTTTGCATAGTGGGGGAGAATAATGTGGAAACGGATTTCGATAATCGTGTCCGGCCACAGAATACTTCATTGGTTTTCTGCCGTCATTTCAGATAAAGCTTTCCGTTGTTACACCCATGTAGGGTTTTTATTGCTCTCCAGTAATTTTACTCGTGAATCACCGAACGTAAAATACTTTACTGTTTACCCACTTTATTACGAAGATTCATCTAGAAATCATCTTTTGGATTTCCTGTTCTGGTACCCGTGTGTTTTTCCTTCTAAGTGTTTGTCATGATCTATGGTTAAGGACGGGGGAAATTGGTATCTAATTACAAATCGGTTGTCATAAAGTTTTTGTTATTTTAGGTAATCTATATGCGGGTATCACCATTTGCCAGTTCTTTGATAACAATTTTCGCTAATTTACACCGGTGAATTAGGGAGTGTTTACGGGATGTATATATATGGCTTGCGTATAACTTTTCAAGAATTGAAACTCGGTTCCGTTTCGTACCACTGCGTACCAATTGAGGCATTGAAACATTCTGCCACGTTGGTTTTGTTAACCTATATGAAACAAGGGCACTCTAATTTACCCGACAGATGGAATTGGTTACGCGGACGATGGTCGAGAGATTTTCGATGACCATGATGAAGACCAGGAAGTCGTTGAACGTAAATCGAGAGGTAAACACT